AGGACCGAGGACCTGAGACTGGAGTGTTGATTTTGTTGTAGAAGAATGTGTAACCATTTTGGTTGCAATTTAATGCCCAAGATTTGTCATTGTGTCCAAATAAACATTCATCCAATCTCCCTGCTCTGCTGATATTCTTGTATGCAACTGCTACTAAAACTCCTCCTCTCCACTCCACCTCCCAGTAACAACGTCCAGTCAGACTCTCTCTATTCAGGACCTGATGCCATGTAGTGAATCTATCTGCATGACTAGAATAAGACTGACATTGTCTCATTAATGTTGCTTTTCTGTTTCCCTCAGATAATAACAGATTTGTGTGTGCTGTGTTTGGATCCAGTGTGATTTCCTGTGAATATTTTAAGAATCCAGCTCTGGTCCTGGGCTCTGGTTGTGACAGTAAAACATCCACTTCAGTCACTGTCAGTGAGATGTTTGTCCATGTGTCTCTCAGAATGTCCTGTAGTTTATCTCTGAGCTGTGACACAGCTGCTGTCACGTCCTCAAAGTAGCTCAGAGGACGGATATTGATGCTGGATGAGTCTGTAGATTCACTGAGTCGTGACAGTGAGGGGTAGTTGTGTAGAAACTGGTTGTGATCCTCTGTGTGTGAGAGCTGCTTCAGCTCAGCGTCTTTCCTCTTCAGCTCAGTGATCTCCTGCTCCAGCTTCTCCTGAAGCTCTTTGACTCGACTCACTTCAGTTTTCTGCTGGGATCTGATCTGCTGCTTCACATCAGAGCTTCTTTTCTCCATGAGACGGATCAGCTCAGTGAAGATCTTCTCACTGTCCTCCACTGCTTTATCAGCAGAGCCATTGATAGCCTCCACCTCCTGTTGAAGCACCTTCACATCTTTGTCTCTGTCCTGGATTCTCTGCTGGATTTGTTGTCGCCTCAGCTGGAGCTCTCTCTGCCTCTCAGTCCTTTCTGCTGCAGCTGAGACTGTGTCGTGGCCTTTATGTTCATCCACAGAGCAGAGATAACAGATGCACTGCTGATCAGTGCGGCAGAACATCTTCATCACCTCATCATGACAAGAGCAGATGTTCTCCTGGAGCTTCTTGGAGGGCTCCATCAGCTTGTGTTTTTTAAATGTAGGTGAATCAAAATGAGGCTGCAGGTGTTTCTCACAGTAAGAGGCCAGACAAACCAGACAAGACTTGAAGGCTTTCAGTTTTCTCCCAGTGCAGACATCACAGGCCACATCTTCAGGTCCAGCATAGCAGTGATCAGCAGGAGCAGCTTGGAGTCCAGTCTTCTTCAGCTTCTCCACTAAATCTGCTAACATGGTGTTTTTCACCAGGACAGGTCTCTGTTCGAAGGTCTTCCTACACTGAGGACAGCTGTGGATTTTCTTCTGATCCTCTTCTTTCCAGAAGCTTTTAATACAGTTGATGCAGTAGCTGTGTCCACAGGGAATAGTCACCGGATCCTTCAGTAGATCCAGACAGATTGAACAAGAGATGGATTCCTGGTCCAGCTGAACTCCTTTCTGCGCCATGTCACCTCTCACTGTCAACGACTGTCTGAGTTTCAATTCTGTAGAACTGAAACTAGTTTGAGCTCTGATCTGAACAACATGTGTCTCTGCAGTGAACAGGGCCTGTCAGCTCTTGCACTTCACCACATGTTGGTTCCACCCATCTTCAAACTGTAGATCTGAAGGGGAGGGAACAAGGAAATATGGACAGAGGGGAACTCACTGTGTTTGAGGGCAGGAAGAAGAGGGAGGGTTATCAGGCTTACTTTCACTCCAGGAAGAGGAGCGGTTTGATACTGTGTTTGAGACTTTTTCTTACAATACAGCTTATTTCTCATTGAAAAACACTGATCACCAATACCATTAGGTGTTTAGAGATGATTCCCCAGTTTTATTTTCTTCTATTGTCTTAAAAAGTGTTTTGAACTTTTTTATATATTTTTAGGAATATTTTGAATTGAGTTTTGAGTAAAAGTTGTATTTTAATATTTGATCTATTTAAAGAAACAAATCAACCAAATCACTTGTTGCAACTGTGAATCCCACAGGACATGAATGCACCAGATCATTTGACTCTGTAGTTCAGTTTGGAGACTTAATTGACTGAATGGATCCATGAAAATGAAACGTTTTATACATATGATTAATATCCTTTCAGTTGTTTTCCAAAAGATCCAACAGACATCACATATAAGAGGTTACATCGTCATCATATCTGTAAAGTTTAAGTTTTGCTGATTAAAGTCAATATATTTTCAATACAAAAGCGTCAAGAGTGATACAACTGTTTCAAACTACAGACACTGTAGTGAACCCTACTTAAGTAACAATAAAATGTTGGTGAAGAATAAACCACAATACTTAAACAATTCATATATGGTTGAATACTGATGTTATAACAAGAGTAAAGTATATTCTCAATAAGAAAAACACAAACGCCATGAAATTGATCAGTTTCCTAGTAGGATTTTCTAGTAAAAAGTACTGAAATCTGAAATACAGATTTAAACCAACTGCACCTTAAATGACCTTTGTCTATTTGAGTTCACACAACTCAGCTGTGTCATAAACCCAAAGTCCAGCATAGAGAGGCTGAGTGAACGTGGTCTGGACTCTGTGGAGGAGAGTCATGGTTTCAGAGACGCTGTAGAAGGACAGAACACCTTCTCTGTGATCCAGGTGCTTTCCTACTCTGGAGGACCGAGGACCTGAGACTGGAGTGTTGATGTTGTTGTACCACAATATATAACTGTTTTGGTTACAATCTAACGCCCAACATTTTTCATTCAAGCCAAATCTACATTCATCCAAGTTTCCTGCTCTGCTGATATTCTTATATGCAACTGCTACAAAAATGAAAGCTATTCAGCTGTCATAGGAAATCATCTACTGTTTAAACTGCATTGTCAGCATGGGGTTGGATCACGTGAACTTCTACTTCATTTCTGTCTAACCACCTGTTTTGTTTTTACTGCAACACGTCTCCAGGAGAAAACTCCTTTATAGACTCTCTCTTCCTACAGGGACAACACTGGTTCTCTGTCATCCACTGAGGATAAAGAGCTGCTGTGCTGAAGTCAGGTACTTAATATTTAACTGAAATAAATGGAACAAGGTCTCCACATTAAATGAGAACATACAGTGTATAGTGTGTAAGTGCTTTTTAGGAGGAAACATAGAAGCTTTTTCTGATCTGATGCCCCTATCAGCAGGATGACGTCAACTGTCTGTGACTGTCAAAACAGCAAATCAGCTGATATAAAACAATATATTGTTAAAGATTAACCCACTGGTTGTAAACCTTCTTGTCTTATGGCCCCGCATAAAAACACTGTTGTGGCTCCTTGTCATGTTTCACCTGTAAGTCAGTCATTGGCTGGTTACACTCTTCCTCAAATTGGAAGATGTGTGAAGGAAGGGAACAAGGAAATATGTAACCAGAGAGGAGCAGGAAGAAGAGGGAGGTGTTGTCAGATTTCTCTTTTACAACTTGACCTTGTTCAGATCAAGTCACTGAGTCCTCACACCTTTTCAGACTGTTCATGTTTCCCCCGAGACAGAGTAAAGACATTATTATGTCTCAATACATGATGTGGCAACAATCTAATGACCAGTACTTTTCATTGTATCCAAATGCCACGATTGTCACAGCTGTAAGGGTTTGTCAGGGTTTGAGGGGTTAGGGCTGGACCCAAATGCAGCCAACACATGGGAGACGGTGCAGACAGGTTTTTTAAACTAACACACACACAGGGAACCACAGGGGATGACAACAGGTAACATGAACGGACTGAAGACAAACTGGACTTGAACAACTTGAGGAAGATCCAGAAATCAACAGACGTGAACAGGCTAAGGACAAACCCAGAGACAACAATGACAACAGTGACAAACCGACGCAGACAAAGGGAAGCACAAAGACTATATAGACAAGGGAGGCAAGGGTGATTGAACACAGGTGAAACACATTAGGGCGGGGCAGACAATCACCACACAAGACCAAGACAGGAAGCAAAACACTGAGCCACACAAGGAAACCAATGACAAAATAAAACAGGAAGCGCAAAAAGTCCAAACAAAACTAACAAAAGGTGTCTGCCATAGCAAACCATGACAAGGATGCTGTTCTACCAAAATCCTTGTTTGCAGCTGCTATTATACATCTACCATCTCTCTGCTCAGGACCTACCAGCAATCATCAAACTTCCTTGGGTTACAAGAATAATATATTATCTGCTATCTTTTGTGCTTGAATATACTGACAGATATTTAATTATAGTATTTGATTTGATTTGATTTTGTGGTGTTTTAGGAGGAAAACCCCTCCCATTAGTTTCACATTTTCTCCAGCTTTGAATCAGATCCTTGAATGAAGACAGAAGAAAAATTTGATTTTTTCTTTAGGAAAAACTGTTTTATTCATGATGTGAAGCTTCAGTTTGTTCACACACTGAATCAGTAAAGTCTGTTAAATGACTCTTGTTCAGTGATTTCATGAACAGATTCACTTCATCCACACAATCAGTTTGTTTCACCTGAATCTCAGAGATGGAAAATAAATAATGAATCGTCTCCTCATTTATTATTATCATGATAATTACAGTTTTATAAAACCTCATCGACCTTATTTGTAAGTTGATTTGAACAACAACAATGTTCGATCTGACAAACACATAAATGTAAATGTAGTTATAGATTTCTTTCTTTACAAAGTGAGAACAAAATATCTGTGATAAAGGAAGGTCTGGTGATTTCTCTGTTTAGGCCCATGCAGTGGAAGAGAAACAACAACATACAAATACATCAACACAAATATTCAACAAACATTCAGAGCACAGAGAAGTTTATATTTTCATGTGGAGAAATGTCAGTTTAGGTAAAGAAAAATCATCCTGAGCAGTGATATCCTCCATGACTCCAGCTCCACCTAAAGAAACTCAAACATCAACACAACAATAGATGAGAAGAGGTCAAAGTACCACCCATAATGTTTGATTGACAGGTGATCTCTGTGCAGTGCAGAAACACAACAGCAATGAGCTTTTAGCAACAATGATGGAGATAAAATCAACTGATGAACTGAAATACAGATTTAAACCAACTGCACCTTAAATGACCTTTGTCTATTTGAGTTTACACAACTCAGCTGTGTGTCCATAGACACAAAGAGAAGAAAGCCAAAGTCCAGCATAGAGAGGCTGAGTGAATGTGGTCTGGACTCTGTGGAGGAGAGTCATGGTTTTAGAAACATTGTAGAAGGACAGAACACCTGCACTGTGATCCAGGTACACTCCTACTCTGGAGGACCGAGGACCTGAGACTGGAGTGTTGATGTTGTTGTAGAAGAATGTATAACCATTTTGGTTACAATTTAATGCCCAAGATTTGTCATTGTGTCCAAATCCAGATTCACTCCCTGCTCTGCTGATATTCTTGTATGCAACAGCTACAAAAACTTTTCCTCTCCACTCCACTTCCCAGTAACAACGTCCAGTCAGACTCTCTCTACTCAGGACCTGCCAACATGAAGTGAATCTGACTGTGTGACTAGAATAAAACTGTTGTTGACTCATTAATGTTGCTTTTCTGTTTCCCCCAGATAATAACAGATATGTATTTGCTGTGTTTGGATCCAGTGTGATTTCCTGTGAATGTTTTAAGAAGTCAGCTCTGGTCCTGGGCTCTGGTTGTGACAAGTGAACATCACTTTCAGTCACTGTCAGTGAGATGTTTGTCCATGTGTCTCTCAGAATGTCCTGTAGTTTATCTCTGAGCTGTGACAACAGCTGCTGTCACGTCCTCAAAGTATCTCAGAGGACGGATATTGATGCTGGATGAGTCTGTAGATTCACTGAGTCGTGACAGTGAGGGGTATGTTTGTGTAGAAACTGGTTGTGATCCTCTGTGTGTGAGAGCTGCTTCAGCTCAGCGTCTTTCCTCTTCAGCTCAGTGATCTCCTGCTCCAGCTTCTCCTGAAGCTCTTGTGACTCGACTCACTTCAGTTTTCTGCTGGGATCTGATCTGCTGCTTCACATCAGAGCTTCTTTTCTCCATGAGACGGATCAGCTCAGTGAAGATCTTCTCACTGTCCTCCACTGCTTTATCAGCAGAGCCATTGATAGCTCCACCTCCTGTTGAAGCACCTTCACATCTTTGTCTCTGTCCTGGATTCTCTGCTGGATTTGTTGTCGCCTCAGCTGGAGCTCTCTCTGCCTCTCAGTCCTTTCTGCTGCAGCTGAGACTGTGTCGTGGCCTTTATGTTCATCCACAGAGCAGAGATAACAGATCACTGCTGATCAGGTGCGGCAGAACATCTTCATCACCTCATCATGACGAGAGCAGATGTTCTCTGGAGCTTCTTGGAGGGCTCACCAGCTTGTGTTTCTTTAATGTGAGGCTACATCATAATGAGGCTGCAGGTGTTTCTCACAGTAAGAGACCAGACAAACCAGACAAGACTTGAAAGGCTTTCAGTTTTCTCCCAGTGCAGAAATCACAGGCCACATCTTCAGGTCCAGCATAGCAGTGATCAGCAGGAGCAGCTTGGAGTCCAGTCTTCTTCAGCTCCTCCATTAAATCTGCTAACATGGTGCTTGTCACCATTACAGGTCTCTGTGTGAAGGTCTTCCTACACTGAGGGCAGCTGTGGATTTTCTTCTGATCCCCTTCATCCCAGTGGGTTTTAATACAGTTGATGCAGTAGCTGTGTCCACAGGGAATAGTCACCGGATCCTTCAGTAGATCCAGACAGATCGAACAGCAGAATCTCTCTTGGTCCAGCTGATTTCCTCGTTGTGCCATTTCACCTCCTGAGAGTCAAAGTCAAATAGTTTCACTTTCTCTGAACAGAAACAATCTCTGTGCTCTGAAGGAAAACAAATCTCTACCCCTTTGCTCTTGTTCATTTGCTGCAGTGAGTGACACTTATCATCTCCTGCAGTTCATAACATGTTGCCCACACCCATCCTCATACTTACAGATCTGTGAGGGGAAGGGAGCAAAGAAATCTGTTGACTGGGTGGAGCTTGATGAGTGCTGTTTGTCAGAGGCAAGGTGTCTTATCTTTCATTCACAACCTTCAGTAAGAATTATGACTCAGTTAACATAGAGAAGTTGCACTTTGAGCTATCACAGTGAGCAATCAGCTCTCTGAGTGACGTCTTTTCAGGCTGCAGGCGAACTGGGAGAGTGTCTCTTTTCACTTCAGTGCAGTCTGCGTTTTCTTGGGGCAACATCTAGTGGTGAAGAGAGGAACTGCATCTTTCAACACCTTAATTTACACATACAGCTGTGATTACCACCTGCTGCTTGCACAGGACATCTGGTCACTGCTAACACTTCTTGGCTGCTACATCAACATTTTTGTTCATGTTATTGTTGTATTTTGCCTTTAGTACAGTATCTAACTTCGTAGCTGGTTTTGATAAGTAAATGAAGCACATTGTCTGTTATCAGAAAGTCAAAGTCAGTTCCTAATAATTTCTTTTTCTTGATAGAAATATGAATTCAGTTCCAATTATAGGGAGCATTTCATTGAAGGAACTAAATATTTATCTATTGCCCAGTTACTAATAGAAACTTTATTACTGCTAACATGTAGACATCAGATGATTTATTCACCTTCAAGCACTCCACAGTCATAAATGTAAAAAAGAACAGTCAGAAAAAAAACCACAGTGCTGAACAGCTTCATGCGGCTATAGCCAGCTAAAGCTCTTTATTCATATTTAAAAGATGTTTAGGAGACATTCTGAAACATGGGAAAGTGTTGTAGCATTTTGTTGGTTCTCTTTTTCTACATGTAAATATCTCTGGGCCGTGTGAATCTTAAGGCACAAGATAAATTAAGAAGACGGAGAAGACAAACCGCCTTTCTGAGGACACACTCCACCCCAGAGGCATAGCTTTCAAATCCAATGGCTTACAGACAGATTGTTTTAATTACTTACAAAATAAAACACATACCGAGACAAAGAGGGTGACAGCGGGAAAACAAACAAGCAAAACATTAAAATGACAGAATGGCACAGTTTACATAAATGTATGTTAAATACTTCCTCGATGCTTGATGTGAAGACCAACAAGGCAAATGTCTAAATTTTGTGTTTTGAAGGTCAAAGGTCACACTGGCCACCTCTGTATCAACCCAAAATCACTGCTCTTCGATGACTGCGAATAGTCACATAGATAACAAATGCATTTAATTTAAGTGTTTGATACTAAGGACTGTGTAATCTGTATTTGTTATTGGTATAAATCCCTTTTGAGTGAGTGCTGTAAAGTTAAATCAATGTTTAATAAAAGGTGCAAAAAAAAAAAAAAAAATGTAAACGTTATTTTCAACAGTGGTCTGTGGTCTTGCTTCAGATTACACATAATTCCTGTGTAACGGCAACAGACACAACAACCTGTTGAAAAACGCACTTCATGACGAGTTAAGACTAATGTTGAACAAAATGTGAATGACAACCCCCGACAAAATAAAAGAAAGTTTGTTCAGTTCAAATATTGTATTAAAGCATCTTTCAAATAATTCAATTTGTTTGTAGGAATCTGGTGAAAACTGACACAGTCTTTTGTGCTGCTTTCATTCATCTCAGTGTTTGTGCAAACTGACAATCATTATATAAAAGTGGTTAATACTGGTCTCAAAGATTAACCAGCCACAAACACACACACAGGTCGTCCAAATAAAGGCCTGATTTAAAAAAAAACAAAAAAAAAAAAACACATTCAGGGAGGTGGAATTACTTGAAGCTTACAACAAGGACTCACATGGTGAATTCAGTATAACACCGTGCATTTCTACAGCTCTCAGTCGAGTCATACTCACCACTCAGCTGCTCTGTTTCTTTTTCAACACAAACACTGTTTTTCCACTGCAGAGTTTTCACATTAAATCTACTAATAAAAAGAAAGCTGGAAGACTTTTAATGTGAAAATCAGGTTGGAAATGTTGAGTTTTCTCGACTGTAGCTTCATTTTAATTGTAAAAAAAAAAAAAAAAAGACTGTTCTTTTCTGGAAATTTCTGAATCTCAGAGCAGCAGAGTGGTGCTCTGACGTGACTATTTCATTATACTCATTTAGTTCTGCAGGAAAGTACGTTTTATGGACTAAACGTGAAGGAAGTTTTGAGTTTTCATTACCTGGGAAACAGGAAATTGGGAATAGGAGCCTGTCTCTAATAGGCCTGATCCAAATAAACGTCAGGCTGCTATTTGGGAATTTATAGTATGTAGCCTCAGTGTCTTTTCTTAATACTACCACTGGAGGGCGTCAAGATTTTAAACTTCCACACATGGTGGCTTTAGATAAGTGATAGAAAAATTGGTAATAATTTAATATAATTTAATAATTTCATTTAAATACAGTTCAGTTTTATGTAGGAATTAACTTAAAGTTCAACATTTTGGGAAAAACTCTTTTTCATTTTGTTACCAATAGTCAGATGAGAATATCGATGACACTCTCTCTGCCAGAAAAAGGTTAGCTTAGCATGATGAATGGAAAAAGGGTAAAGTGGCTAGCCTGGTTCTGTCTAAAGCTAGGTTAACAAAACAACCTACAAGCAGCTCTAAAGCTCACTAATTTACACCTTATATCTTCTTTGTTTAATTCGAAGTCTCCCTGGGGTACGTGGTGGATTTCTGGGAGTGTTGTCTTACCAAGAAATAGTCCAGCACCTACAAGACCGCAACTATTTCTTCTCACACTCTACACCAATTTATGCAAATTAAGCAAACAAGATATAGATTATTAATTAGTTCACTTAAAAGGTGGTGGTAGGTGGATTTTGTTACCTTCAGACAGAGCCAAACTAACCGACGTGGTGTCCTCTCATCTAACTCTCTGTAAGAAAATAAAAGCCAAAATATCAAACTATTCCTTTAAAAAAGCTTAGATATATTATTTCAAGACTTGACACTTATATTTTTCAATTTTTAATTTAGAAAAACATTTTTCTTTTTTCATTTAAGATAAAATTATCTGATAAAACAGACATCTTTCTCCTAAATGAATTCAGGCAATGCTTAAATTGCAACTAAGGGTACAGATGATCCCCAACCAGATAAAAAAAAAAACAGAAAAACAAAAATATTGTGCAAATATTCAGTTAAAAACAAACAAACAATGGCCTTATTTGAGTGTAACAGCAGGTATATTAACAGATGGAAACGACTGTGATATCAAGCTAAATAAACTTGTTACTCGCATCATATTTAACACAAAATCTGTGTCCTTACAATTTCTTATCACGTGGATAACAAACATATTATTAAAGTAGATTAAAGCCAGAGTACATTTGTGTTACCAAAAAAAAAAAAAAACATAAAATACTTCTCTTCTCTTTGGTGACATCTTTCCCTGCACCCGACCGCCAGAATATTTTTCATTAAAAAAAAAAAAGATAAAATTACAAGCAATCATTTGGCCAAGTAAGGGACCGCAGACCCCGCCCCCTCTTTCTCTCTTATCTCTAGAATAACTTGTCTGTTTTGTGCAGCATCATTGTACATTATTTACACATTTGTACATCATCGTTTGTGACGGAAACTCGAGGCAGGGAAACGCTGCAACAGCAAAAAAAAAAAAGAAGAAAAAAAGACTGTTATAGTTTCTTCTATAAATATGGAATATTCCATAGCAGTATATAATGTCATATATAGTTTTCTACGTGTTGTATATACTCCCTTTAGTTGATCACACTCACTCACTTCTTAAAGGGGAGGTTTGCCTTGCGACTGATGTGATTAAATGAATGTTAAAAGCTGCTTTTCTGTTTCCTTTTTTTTTTTTAACAGTTACAAGTGATGAAAATGAGAAAAACACACGTCGTACTGTAGAGTTAAGTGGAAGTGTATATAACGTGGAAGTGTGGCGATATGATGATGGCGGTAATGATGGCGATGGAGACCTCTCGTCGCCATCTATAGCTGGTGTGGCTTCGTCAGGCCATCTTCACTCAGCTCATACCTGCAGGAGGAGAAAGAAGGATACGTGAGTAAAAACATGTTCAACATGCAATAGTGCAAATGACGTGTTAACAGTTTTGGAGAGCTGGTTTACACTCAAGTTGCTGTACCAAGCTGTTACGGCAGCGGCTTTCAAAGTCTGAGACTGTGGACCTCCCCTCAGACAAACCATGCAAACCTATGGGATTATGATTGTGCTATTTGATCCCATAGACACTCAACAACTGAACCAACTGCTGTTGGACATAACTTGAGACTAAACCTGTTTGCCATGTGTATCAGCTTCCTGATGAAAAACACTTGCTGGTTAGCTTTCTTCACAGCGCTCTCTGAGTTCTCATTAACAGAGTCTGATAAATAATTGTGCACGACTACTTTAAACCTTACGACAGGGCGGATGTTACTGGTCGGTTTCCCTTTTTGCGGAGAGACAAAATAATCCTCGCACCTTGAAAAGCAAAACTACAGCTCCACAGTTCTGTAAATCATTGGCGCAGGAAACCGACACGTCATTTCAGGCTCCTCTTCACTTCAGAGAAAAATGTCCACGTTCACCTGCAGCCGCACTTTTATCATATCTTCTCTAATATCATAAATGATCACAAGGTTCACACAGATGTGTCCATTTTAGTCTGCTGAGTTTTTCAGCCTTTCATACACAAAATGTAACTTTTAATTCTTTTGTTCTGATGTAATTGCTTCCTAGTAAAAGATAAACTTCTCTACCTAAAAAGAATTAAACAAGCACAAAAATGAGCATTTTCTACATCAAATTACTTTAATTAGTTCCTGTGTCATTATCAGAGCTTTACAAATCTGTAAAATACACTTTAAAAGTAACTAACCATTGTGTCCAACCCTTGGTGATGTCCTCATGAGTCAAATCAACCAGGACCTGATGGAAAACAAAAAAAGACGTATTATATCCAAAAAAAAAAAGAAAAAAAAAAACATGAAACTGGATATTTCAATGACTGAAATATCATTTTATGTTTCTAAATGCACCAGCAGATTATCTAAGATTGAGGAGACAGAAGATCCAGCAAACATCTGGGAACAAGTGAGCTCAAAATCAGCAAGACGGCAGGACATTTTGTGCCGTGTTAAAAATGAAGTGCAAAGGGAAAGAGATAATGTCTGTACCTTTCCCAGAAGGCCTTTGTGTTTGGAGAGCAGGCCTCCACCGTTCTTCACAGCGACGTCCAGAGTCCGTCTGTGCAGCTCCACGAGGGAAACACTGAACTCAAACCTGAGCAGACCGAGGGAGAGAGGGAGAGAGATAGAGAGAGATATGAAGACAACACAGTGCATCAACACCAGTTTGACTTGGCTTAATCAGCAGCTGAATCTCAGAGTTTGACAAAGTTATTGAAAAAAACAAAACAATATAAGAGCAAGTGGCGGAGTTGGACTCACGTCTGATCATAAACGGGGTTGAGGGTTTTCTTGAAAGTGTGAGTTTTCCTCCTGCCCGACCTCCGTTTGTCAGGAAGCAAGTAGAGGCGGACGTAAGGATCTGACCCCTGATCAGTGAACGCTATCAGGTTTCTGCCGAGGTAAGAAAAAAAAAACAGAATATTACTTAGAGCGTAAAAACACTGACCTCAACGCATAAACTCTTCGCTCCTCTTTGCTCGTACCTGCAGCCGTGAACGACCACGATGAGTTTGTTCCTCTGCGAGCTGTGTCTGACCGTCAGCTGGACCTCGCCCAGCGGGAAATGACTGGGGCCTGAACCACTGCAGAGAGAAAGGAGGGGGTTAACTCATCAACACCGGCGCCTCCTTTTCAAGCCTGTGTAAAGCACGCAGCTCCAACTGAAGGTCAGCTTCACATCTGTGGAAATGTCCTCTCGAAGACTTAGTCTGGTGATAATATATATTTTTCTTATTGTCAACAAATCCTATGTATTCCAAAACCAACAATAAATATATACTTATTAGTTATCATGTTTGCTTCCAAAGCTTGGTATATCTCAATCCTCTGTGTCACAGAGCTCCACTGTTTCCAAAAACTATTAAAAACACATCCAGTGATCTGGCTCACAGTTGCCCTGGGTGACGTGTTCTTTCATCACCATGAACACACATGCTAGTTTGTTTTGATGCAACCTCACATTCACCATCCTGCTGGCCCCAATATTCACTAAAGCACCAAATATGGATTAATCCGCCACTGAAAATAGTCCCCAACAAATGCAGTTTCCTCCTGTTTGAGTAGTTCGTTAAAAACGACAGTGTCCAGCTGTTTATTAATCACAGGACTTTAAAAAAAAAAAAGATTAAATTATACTTTGTGTTTTTTTAGATTTACAATAAGAACTTTCTGAAAAGAAGTCAGACAGTACTGAAAGAAGCACCAACAACATTGGTTTTGGTCTTTTCATGAGATTTGGTGATAACAAAAAATATACAATTTTAACAGACAAATTTTTTGTGTTTGTTCAGATCAACTTCTATCAAAAAAATGCTCAGACTGAAGAAGGTAGAGAAGAGCATCACAAGCATTTTCAGATTTCCTTATGTCCCAGTGGGATCAGAGAGAAGAGACGTGTGACTCTGGGATTCTACAGTGAAATTAACTTCGTTATAATGTGACCCCTCCCATTAACGCTGACGAGCTGCTGGACATTGACTTGTGTTGAATTTTGGCCACAAACCTGCTGGGAAATCGTAAAAAGCTCATAAAAGTTGAGCCGCGACATCAGTTAAAAACATCAAACAACATCGAAGTAACGACAGAGTCTCACTTCCAGTTGTTGTGAAAGCAGGGATGAAGTTGATCAGATCTGCATTTGCTAAAAAAGCTACTTTTCTCAAATGAAGACGTTCAAAACTTTGGGTCAGACGCCCAGTTTGATTATTGGTGGAGAGAGAAATCGATACACGACTGATTGATAGATACTTTTGCAGCTGGTGGAGCCTCTGCTGCAGCTCCTGAGTGGCGTAGGGGTTGGAGATGTCCGATGCGATGCTGGGCGTCGGCTCCTTGCCTCCCGCCAGGTACTGCTGGGAGCCCGAGATGGCCAGGTTAGAGGTGCTCCTCCCGGTCTCCGCCAAGCTCTGCCCTCCTCCTCCGCCTCCTCCTCCTCCTCCTCCTCCTCCTCCCTGCCCCAGGTCTGTGCTTCCGGGAGACCTAACAGGCTCCTCTGCCTCCCTCCGCCGGTTCAGCGGGTCCTGGGCCGACACAGACGCAGAGCGGGGGGTGTCGGAGGTGGATGAGGGAGGCTTTGGGGAGTCTGAGGAGACCGAGGCCCGCGGGGTGGAGTTGGAGTCGGACTTGCGGACCTGCACCGAGGACGGGGTGGAGTTTGAGGAAGAGGAAGTGTCCTTATCCAGACACAACACCTGGAGTTAGACAAAACGACAGAGTGATTTTTTAACATTTGAAGTTCAGTTTTTCACCAAGTTATCTCCATTACAACTAAGCAAATATTTCTGCAAATATGACAAATGGAAAGTTTTGTGTTCCTTCATGATTCATGGATGAGTAGTTACAGTGTCTCCCCGTCTAGCCCACAGTCACATGACTCCCTCAACAAAAGGTCTTCCAAACTAGTGATGGGTCGGTCGCGAGCGAGAGCCGGACTAGAGCCGGCTCTTTGAAGTGAACGACGGGAGCCGGCTCGCGATCGAGAGCGTTTTTTTTTTTTTTTTAATTGTCTTTTAAAGCCGCATTGGTCAACATGTGGCTGTGGCAGCGTCTGTGTGACAACACTGAGCAGGAGGGGGGAGGGGAGGGGTTACAGACACTTGCATTTTGTGTTTTGTTTTTCACTGTACATGGTTGCACATTTTCATTTATATTTTGTTGAGTGATGTTTAGTTGATTTTGTGTTTTTCTCAAATTAAAATGGGTCTTTTTTATTTAAAATGTATTTATGTATATGTTAAGTTATGTTAAGTTTATTAATAAAGCCATATACATACTATACATATGTTATATTTTATGGTTTTTTACATTAGTTATTCATTTTAAACATAATTTGGTAATAAATTAATTTAAGAAACAAAAAAATCTGAGGAGCCACTTGGGGGCTGAAAGAGCCGGCTCTCCACAAAGAGCCGGAATTCCCATCATTATTCCAAACCACAGAGTCATTTTACTGCCTGAGTTCAGTTTTAAAAAAAAAAAAAAAAGCTAAAACACTGTAGACTACTTCTGCACATCGAGAACTCCAGTGGATGAAAACAAAATGTCCTGATGAAGACCACTGAGCAAACATCGCCCGCAGGTCGTCCTCCTACCCGCAGAGCCATCTTCATCTTGACGGTGCAGCTCGGTCCGGAGTTCTTGAGGGGGAAGCGCTGGTTCAGCGTCATGTCCTCCGCCTCCAGCAGGCGGCTCAGAGGCACCGTCAACGTCCCCAACGAACACTCATGTTTGGCGTCCTTCACCTGAGGACGCGGGGTTCAAAGAAGCTTAGCTGATAGGACACAACTGCTTGTATAAACACAAGACTGCAGCAGCTATAAATTGAGCTTTTATGTAAGAAGCTCCCGTACCTCAACTTCCAACTCTTGGGTTTTGGGGTTGTGGATGAGGAAGGTGAAGGCTTCCTCCCACACTGGTTCATTGGTCTTAAATCTGGTCTGAAAAGGGAACAACAGAAAGGTTGTGACTTGATATTTAACGAGGGAAATATAAAAACACGGTAAAGAGAGACGACACACAGACAGACAGTGGAAAATGTGGATTTTCGAAACTACAGAAAGTTATCCTGAGGTCCTGTGAAAACACCAAAATGTAAACAGATCCAGTAATTGAAGTTACCAATTTCCTAAGAGGAACTGAACACAGATTACTTTTTTTTCCCCACAAGCATTCATTACAGTGAATTAATGAATCATGTTGAGTGTAAATGTGGATCGTGCTTTGGTCTCACCTTGCTGTCAAAGGACTTGTGTCCCACTGTGAACTGGACAAACGGACTGGGATCACTGGTCACTTTTTTACCGGACTGGAGAAGAAGAAAAACAGGTGTTACAAACAAGGAGGACTGATGGTTTAGCAAGGTGACAAATGTTTTTTAAGAGACCAATTAGCAAGAAAGTCTTTGGTAAAGAAATATCTATAAGCTGTTTTAGCATATTTTTACACAAATGAAAACATATCATTAGCCACTGAAAAACATCTAAAATATGTCATATACTGTTAAATGTTTTTGCAGCGTAGACCTCAACACCCGGTGATGAAGATACAGTATGATTCGAGCATTCAAAATTCAGATTTTGAGCTCATACTGTGTCGTTTTCGAAACATGAGATATCACATCTTTAACATGATGCCAGACTGCATGGTGCTACTTATCACATGTCAGCATGTGATGGTAAAATGTGTGGAATTATGACAAAAAGTACATCAGGTAAAAAAGGAAAAAAAATAAAAGAGCCCAAACTAAGAAAGTCTGAAAAACTGATCAGGTGAGAATGAAAGAAAAGATCAATTTAAAAGGTTCAGTGTGAATGTACCTCAGACAACAATTGTTTTATTTACAACACACATTGTTAGACACGACAAACGTGATTAGTGGAGTTTGTTAATGTTTTCAGGAGAATATTCACGCATTTAAGATACAAGTTCTAGAATGCTCTACGATGTTTCTGAATGTAATGTTTCACAATGTAAACGGTGAGCTGTGAGGCAAATGTAGAGATTTGGTGGCGCTGTTATCTCATCAACAGGAAATGTATTTATCTCACTGCATATACTTTCCACAATAAACCGCAAAACAAATAGAAATATGAATTTTCTTTGCAAAAGTTCACATCTTTATTAATATGTTGCGTCAGTTTTTTTGACCTTTGGGTCTAAAGGGCGTCGTGTGTTCGCATTACTGTTTGGAACGACGGCAAAAAAGCAGCCATAGGAAGAGGATAAAGGTTTGACATTCTATATGTGAAGACTTTTTCTGCACTACAGGGTGCACTTTATGGCCAAAAGTTTGCGTGACCCTTTCCTGTTTGGAGAAGACAAAGTTAGATCCACAAACAAATGCTTTTCCCAGTTAGGTGTGGAAGAACCCGAGTGGCCTGCACAGAAAGCCCTGACCTCAGCCCCATCCAACACCTTTCAGATGAACTGGAGAGTTCTGACAAGAACCCAGAGAACTGAGCACATATACTCCTGTTCTTAAATCCCACTTACTTAGAAAGTGCTGCTGCGGTTTATGAATCACACAGTGATGATCGCCTTGACGAATATAAACCCAGTTCTTTCTCTTAGATCTTCAGTTCTACTTCCTGATCGTCCGCTACGCCCGAACTCCAGCCGCTTTTAAATTTTTCATTGTACTTTCATTCCCTTAATTACATTTGTAATTTACAGCTTATTACTGAACTGTAACTGTATTATATTTTACATTTTACTTTTATTGCTGATTGTTTTTCAAGCCCATTTGTTTGGAAAAGTGCTACATAAATAAGTAGAATTACGTGATGAACAATGGATAAGGGGGTAATATTCAGCGTCCGCATACTTTTGGCCATACAGTTCAAATAAGAGTTGAATGTGTGAGTGTTTGAAGCCTGTGTGAACATATGTCGCTGTGTTTCCTCTGCGTTGGTCCTCTGTGTCTGAGCGATATGGGTGTGCTTCGTTACCGTGTCGTTACCTTGATGGCCTTACTGACCGAGGCCTTCTTCAGCCCCGCTTGGTTGAACTCTAACGGATTGCGCTTTGATTTTCCCCCAGGGACAAGGAGGGAGAGAGCAAACAGACACACACGTACACCAGGTTATTAAGGGAAAAGAGGAGCATGCAGGGAGGAGGAGGAGGAGGAGGAGGAAGGGAGGAGGAGGAGGAGGACAGGACACAGAACACACCAGCACCGCCGTCATCACCAAACATCAGGAAGCACCACACGACAAGACAGACAAGAGAGACAACATGAATGATCACATGGTTAATGTCATTCCCCAATTCAACCTGAACATGATGTCACAACTAGAGCCCGACCAGTAATGGATTCATGACGCCGATATTGAAATATGATGTATTGCAACACAGACGGAAAACTATATTAGTTTTAAACACATCTGTATTCTTGGCAATGATCTCTCAAATCTGGCTGTTAAGAGTTAAATTCAAATACAAATACAAAAAAGTATATTCAATTTGAAATAAGAATTAGGTGGAAAATGGAAAAAGTACATAGCACAGGCAATATTTATAATATGCCATTCTTTTTTGGATCTTTGTCAATATTTATGTCAATACAAAACATCTGCAATAAACCAGTGTCGGCTGAAACATATTGGTGGGACTCTGGTTAAAATACCACAACATTAGACAGGAGGCAGTGAGTAAAATGGAGGAGAGGTAAACAGAGATCAGAGGGAAGGATTCATTCTGATCAAAAAGAAGCTGAGATGGTTTTTGGTTGTGATAATTGGGGAACATTTATAGATTCATATTCGTATGAAATCCATTGATATTACAGCCGACTTGTACAACACACTAACCCGCAGAGCACTTGAGTGTTCCAGTTAACAGCCACATAATGAACTGGCAGTGCATCGTCTTTTTCCACTGTAGGAACTTAGTGCAATGTTTACTTACTCAGAAAAGAACCAGGGAGAAAATGTCAAACAGGTGTCACAGATGATGAAAACCATCAGCAAAAAATGATTGTGATGATTTCATAAGCATGACAGGAGAGTGTGAGTCTGTGACTAATCAACAAGCTACATTAATGCGGGTTTTATGTATCAGTGTTTTTCATGTTTTTCAGGTGTATAGGTGAGAAGTTTTCAATAAGGGCTCTCTTCTTCTTGGATTAACGGTATCTCAGGGAAACTTTCCCAACAGGATGAGTGTAAAAGTTTCTTATCTTCAAAAAGTCTTTTTCCAAAGAGCAGATATTGGAAAAAGGGGGTCATCTTTACAATCAGTGTCGTCGGTTTTTGTAAAAGAAAGTGGGAACGCATGGAAGTACCAAGGCCTGACAAGTTCTCCAAAGTTCAGGCTACAGAAAGCACAAAGTACCATTGGTGTTTAAGTTCCTGCAGTAGAAAAGAGACATTTACAGTAACCCTCTAGTGTCTGATTGTCTGACACTGCCGTCACGCTCGTGTTTTCATTTTTTAGTCAAACCAGGACACATGAAAAAGGGCAGGCTTACATGCTTAGTCAATGTATCCCCGCATGACGTGATCATAAACGTCTGGACTGAAAAGACGAGTGTGACCTCAGTGATAATCTCTGACTGGAAACTGTAGAATATCAATGTCTGAATGTTTTGAAATGCGGAAGTGGAGTGGGATTAAACTGGACTCCGGTCCTGATCATGTCAGACCAGTGATGGGATCAATAATCACATTTTTTAAAGGGTACACAGGCATGTTGACAAGAATGCAGTTTGATTAAAGAGGCATTTACTCATCGCTGACCCCTAGTGGCAAACAAGCACAACTGCATTACTTATTTAAGTCTTCCATATCAGCCAGTCTTCATCTTGGCTGAGACATTTCCTGTCAAGAGGTCTGTGCGTTCCTGTAAAATTCACCACAGTAACTTTAGTTTTTATTGGAACAGTAACTGTGTGCTGCCCCCTGGTGGCAGACTAGAGGTGAGCAGTCACAGGGGAGACTAATGGGGAAAACCAGTTCTCAAATAGTGGGCTTAAAACATGAGGGATGGAGGGAAGCAATCCACAGAGAATTAACCCTCCCTGCTCTAAAAAACTAAAATATATCACGTTGCATTCCTCCCTCCAAAAGAAGTTAGATGTCACACTGATTTGGTAACATCACATTCATTTATTCTAAGCAGTTGTTTTAACCTCTCTGAGAGGTGAATGGTCGATTCAAGAAAGTATTATATCATTAACAAAGACTGTAATGAAATATATTCGTCAACAACCTTTTTTTCCATGACAATACAAGATGTTGATGAGATTGACCAGACTTCATGAAACAAAGGCTTGAAGAAATCTCTAAAATCTTTCAAAAAAAATGCAATAACATTTTTTAGTTAGGGGCTAGTTTTGAGTAGGACTTGCCAGGTTAAAATCTGCAAAAGCATTTTAATTAAAATCATTATATTTTGGTTTTAAAGAAAAAGATTTTTAGATTTTAGTTCATTGTCAGTTTTTGTTAAGGCATTAATTGAGGATTAAAAAGGATTTATATAACAACTGTTTTCATCAACTAAAACTGCATTACAATTGTTTTTTGTAACTAAAAAGAGACTCAAGTATAAAGTAAAGTTTTCATTGCCTAATAAGAGATTAGGCGTGCTGATAGTCGCAGCTCCAGTTCAACACATACCTGTATCCACCTTTTAATTCTTGATTTCAATACTTTTAACTTTAGTTTCTACCTTTGGTTTTTACTTTTGGTCTTATTTTCTTTTGTCTGTTTTATTGATTTTATTGTTTTAACATACTGATAATTCTCCCTGTTACACTTGCTCTGTGTCTTTTATCGCTTTGTAACTCTGTTTTGAAAGTGCTATATAAATAAAGTTATTATTATTATTATATTAGTCTACAAATATGTAGGATGAAATTGACAAAAGCTGACAGCTAAAATTAAAATGAATCATGATTTAAAAACACTTTTCTGGTATTTTGTGTTACCTAATGAGACACCTACAGAACACAGAGTAAGACTTAATGCTTTTATAATAGCACACAGTGAGAAGTATTGATTCTTTTAATCCCTTTAAGCCTCCAGTGCTCTGCTAAAATGTCATCTGGCAGAAAAACATCAACATCATTTCTGTCTGGGGAGAAAATGAGTGCCATCAATACAGAGAATGAGCTCTGGCGAGGTTCATTTTACCGGACACGCTGCCGGTGTCTCCGCCCTGCAGAAAACAACCCATCCGATGAAGCAAGATTAGTGGAGACAACAAACGATGTGTCGACTAAACTTGCAAGATCAATAATTCCTCATGAGGGAGAATAATGGAGGAGGAAGGATTCTTTTGATCGTCCTAAAACATGAACCCTCGGGGCTAATTTTCTAGTCACATTTTGTTCTGTCGTGTTCCTCGGCTTTGTAATCAGTCAAACTCCTGACAAAATAACATTCATAACAAAAAAAATGATATTAGAGAACTCAACCCATGCGCTAGTAGGGATTCATGCTCGTCAAGCAAACATTTAAAAACCTTTATTTAAAACCAAACGCAACCAAAAAGTAACAAAAAACCAAAACAGGACCTCTCTAGCAGAGGCAGTCACACCTTTGGGGTTCTCCAAACTACTCTAGGATGCAGAAAACAGCCAGCAGACTCACAAATAAGGTCCTATAGAGAGAGGCGGTGTTCTCGCAAAACACGAGGCCCGCCGCCCGCCTCTCTTTTAAGTAGCCAGTGCCCAAGTTCCCCTCGAAGACGCTCTTCAGAGGGGGGTGAGGAGAGAGAGGGGAGAAGCAGAGAAGAAGAGGAGGCTGAAAAGAGGAAGATGAGTCCTGTACTACAGAGGTTTAACCACCACTAATTTAAAGTTGCTGAGACTAGAAACAGTTTTGTATGAGACAGGCAGGCGCCGTGATGTCATCGACACTGATCACTTACTTTCATTACCACAAACAAATGAGACGTTCTGTGTAAATACATTAATACAGCAGCAGCTCTGAGCTCTGAGCAGTAGCAGCAGTCAGAATTGGTCGTCGCATGGTGGTTTAAAGAGGCGTTTCCCTCCATACATACTCCTCACAAAAACAGCTGTAAAGCTCTGAACTGTTTGAGTCTCAGAAACACTCCAGAATTATTATTTTCATTATCACAATCTGAGCCACAAGGTCCAACAAAGACATCACAGCCTGAAACTGTATCATTATACTTGTGTTTGGGGTCAGTCTGCTCGACCAAACTCTAATGCTCAAAATCTTTAGACCATAAACGTCAAAGCTGAGCAACTTTCACTGGAATAAAAAGGCACACAGTGTCATTTGGAGCTGGGTTTTGTTACAAGTTTCCACAGCTTAAGTTTAGAAATGTAAAAAGCTTATTTTTTAAATTAAAAAATAATGTCAAATATTAAAATGTCAGTGCATCAGAGTTATTGTTTGCTTGAATAAAACACTGTATATTGTAAAGTTAGAAATGTGTGGTTAAAGACTGGCACTGAACATAACTATATACTAACATGAGACAGAAGCTACGAATGACATAAAGGTCTCACTTGTTCATGGTAATTAAATCAGTGATGATCATGCTACACTGTTTAAAAAAGCTATACAGTCTGTAGAACTGAGAATTCATGTAAATTTAATGTTCTTTTATTACATCTATGAAACTGTTCAGCTGCATTTACTGATTTTATTGCTTCACATTGAGTGTTGTTATTTTACATAAAAACTAAATTTAGCAGTAGAAACATTAAATCACTGCCACACTCATCAATCATCGAGAGACTGATAATCAGTTACAATAAGATCTTGACCAGAAATCATTTTGGTACTTTTAATATAGTGAAATGTAAATTAAAAAAGATAAAAGGTGCAATAAAAAAACAAGATAAGATAAAAATATGAAACAGAACTATTACAACAGAATTACCAATATTCTTCTGAGTATTGCACCTTTAAGATGAGATGGAGTGAAACTGAATAAATGAATGAATGAATGGATGAATGAAGAGCAGAAAAGAAGTTAGGAAAGCAGATAAGTGAGACTGAAGAAGCACAGATGAAATTTCCAGGATTGCTGAATGTTTGTTTTTATCTTCCTTCAATAATGGAGGGATGGGATATGAAGAAATGTTCAACACTGGTAAAAACACCAAATATTCAGTCACTAAAAACCGAAAAAATAAATAAATAAATAAATCACCCACTTGACATGAAAGTATTAACTGAACAGCTAAAAAAACAACAAAGCTGTACATTACACAGCGTGAAGGAAAGAAAATCCAAATTCTAATTAAACTAAATAATAATTTTTCCTCTTTTTTAAAATGACATTTCCATGAAAATGTTTTCTGAAATGAAACTGAAATGAATGAATAACTCCTGGGTTTACGATTCGCCTCCTAGTCTTTATTTCCTGCAGCTCTGTCGCTGTCTTGTTGCGTTATGCTTTAAGACTTTGTGAATTCCTGCATCTGATTAGTGATCAACACATCATTCATATGTTTTCTATATCTATGTATCTCTATATAATCTATATATCACAGAGCTGACCAGACTGACTCACCGGCAGGTTTCTGGCTGAATCCAGGAAGACGACGAGCAGCGCAGACGACAGGCCGTCGTTGGCTTGACCGCGATTAGCCTTGATGCTCATTAGGGCCTTTGGGGGAAGAAAAGAGAAAAAGAAAGGAGGCACCACAGCTGGTCAGTAACTGACAGAGGTCAGGGGTCAGCTACACAGTGATATAACTGTACTGAAGCCTGTACCTGGTCCAGCTTCTCAGGTGTGGGCAGCAGAGACAACCATTCCAGTTTGAGGTGCAGCTTCCCTGAGGCCACATCGTCCAATACAAACCACTGAGGGCACAGAAATCAGTGTTTTAATATGTGACAGCAACACACCCTGTGACACCCTGGAAGTGATGTGACAACTAGTGTTTTGGAAAAAATAAAACTGGGTTTTATTATTAAAACAAGTGCATAACTAAATTCTACATAATATACTGAACACCAACTGTAATCTTTTTGTAAGATAGACGGTGCAATGAAGCTTTTATCAGAACTTCAAAATTATTTAGCATATATACAGATAGATACTAAAATTTATTCAATACATTTTCAAAATCATTCTTTAAAATATTCTCTGATCAATTTGGGAATTTCTCTGAAATGTTTATTTAACGTATTTAAGATATATTAGGTATGGTTTTTTATATATATTATTATTATTTTTTTATTATTATTTATTTTCTTGTTGTCTTGTTTTGTATTTTTTCTGCTAATATGTTATTTCCAAATATTCAATGCTTAATAGCTTAATGCTAAATGACTTATTTTCTGTATATCGTGAGTAATAACACGATGGATTGTAGGATTGTCTATTTGTTTGATGAAAGTTGCTCTGTGCTGGTTACTGGAAGCAGAAGGAGAAACATATAAGTGCAGTGCAGAAACACACACTGGGAGCAGTTCAGTGAGGAGGAGATGCACATTACCTCGTCGACCTTCTGTTCCTTCTGGAGCTCGGCCAGGTCGATGATCAGACTGAAAAACAAACAATGCGAAACTTTATTTCACTTCGAAGGCGTGTGAGCGAGGCTGTCTCATCACACCGCGTTCAGCTGCAGCGTCACCACAGACCGTCTCTCACACGGCGGCGAGTTAATGGCCCTCTGTGCTCATTAAGCACCACTGTGAATTCAGTGTGATAGCGCTGATCACTTTCAGTCCTTTGACGCTACTATCAGATAAATCGAGCGTGAAATCCTATTAACCTACAGTGGGAACTCTCATATCGTTTGTTTAAGATATGAACAACACAATATTCACAATATGTTAGTTCATCCATAAACTACTGAATCTATCTGAATCTATGTGAAACTATCCTTATTGACAAACAACAAAGTCAAACTTTCCAAAGTGAATCTGAGCAATGTTGAATTACTGCTCGTCATGAATGAGGCTGTAATTCATCTTTGCAAGTATGAGGTAAACTTTTTTTTTCTTCTCAATAATCACTTTATCTTTAGTAAATCAAATATCACAAAGTGAAAATGACAAGTTAAAAGACCCCAAGGTGACATCTTTAAATATCTAGTGTTGTCCGAACCCACGGTCACAACCCAAAGATGTTCAGTTTACACCTTTAAACTGTTTTAATCTATTCATATTATAATAATTCTAATTATTATTATTCTTATTTAAGAAGATAAAAAAAGAAGCTTATCTGCATTTTTGCTGGATGTATGAATTATTATTCAACTATCAAAATTATTGTTGACAACTAATAATTTATTGAAGTTTCAACTGAGATCATCTGCAGAGGAGATACTGTGAAAGCATAACATCCAAGACAACTTCTGGTCTTAATCATTGATATAAAAAAACAAGAGTCTTTAGTCATGCAAAATATTTCGACATCATAAG